TTTTTTTTTTTTTTTTTTTTTTATCAAGGGGGAGTGGTTAGGAAGAGCGGATTTAGTATAGTCCCCATTCCGCAGCCCATACTCTTCGATTCCTAATTATACTAATCACCAGCAAGCTTTGGATGCGGGTTTAGTGGGGTGCAGCAGGCTATGTTTTCTGTTGGGTTCGAAGTTGCAGGCTCGTTCGGTCTTCGCAGATCTTTTGGGGGTACCAGGTAAGCAAACCCTATTTAGGGTTGTAGGGTTCTAGGGTTTCGGGTTTAGGGTATAGGGTTCGAAGCATGGGTTGCTACATGCTTGCAGGCTGCCTCAGACATGATCCCGAATGCTTGCGAATATCCATCCGCCTTGGTAACTGAGGCAATACAGTAGCCCTTGACGTTTTGGGTGTGTATATACACACGTATATGGTCGGTTGTCGAAATCATGGTGTCCCTGATACAGATTGGGCCCCACTATTTAGGGAAGCCCCTAAAAGGGACCATGGCTGTGGCCATATACGTATATACATGTCATATCTACTCATTATAGCGAAGCGGTTGACATGTTTGGGCCAGGGAACTCTGTGACCAGGTTGCAGAAGACAAAAACAGGCTGTAGGGTTGGGGGTTCACGGTTGGGTTTAAGCCCTAAACCATAAACCATAGGGTTTAGGCAGGGAGCTCTCAATTCGGCAGCCCGAAGCATAAGAATTGAAACCTTAAGCCAGATGCTCTGAAACGCCCTAGACTTACTGGGGTAGAGAGTGAGTTTAGGGAGTTGTATTATAGGAGAGTTTAAAGGGATTATTATAGTCATCCACTCCATCCTCCGCCCCTTTTTTTGCACCATAAAGGTACCCCTAACGAAGCCTAAGCCTTTCACCCAACCCTAAAACCCTACCGTTTCATCCCGTAGTTCTGATCCCAGAGCCCTCAAAACCTCTGCCACCCTTCCGGAAGCCATAGTACTATATTACTATAGTACCATAGTAATGTAGTATTATGGTACCATAGTAATATAGTAATATGGTACCGTTCATAGTAATATAGTACTATAGGACCATAGAAATCTAGTACTATGGTACCATAGTCATAAAGTAATGTGGTACTATAGGAATATGGTAATATGGTACCATAGAAATGCAGTTCTGTGGTACTATAGTGATATAGTAGTTTATAGTAATATAGCAGTAAGCAAAGCAGGAAGGGCTTTGTGGACGGCCGTACTGCCCGACTTCCCACGGTCATCGTGCGGCCAGGCATGGGCCCCTTCTGGAACGGACAGAAAGGTCCAGGGTATAGGATTTAGGGTACAGGGTTTAGGGTCTAGGATTTAGGGTTTGCGGTTCAGGGTTCAGGGTTTAGGGTTTAGGCTTCAGGGTTAAGGGGTCAGAGTTCAGCGACCCAAACATGAAAACTCGCGTAGGCCCCTTGAAAACGTGGAGTCCAAGATAGTCTTTGTAGGCGCTTTTGTGTTTGGTGGAGGCTCTTTCATGGCGATATCCCAAACACAGACAGTCTTGATGCATGTTTTTGGTCACAGATCCAGCACTTCCCGTGAACACCTGTTTGGAAACTTAGGTTTACCCGCGCAATCTTGCATGGTCAGTGGGTAAGGCTAAACGTTTTCGGGGTAATAATGAAACCCTACATAAACAAAGCTGTGAACCTTGAGAAATCCCTAGATATTGGACAACTTGGCAATGCTTTTGCTGTGACCCTAAACGCTAAATCCTAAACCCTATAACCTAAATCCTGAAGCCTAAAACCTTGAACCCCAAACCCTTAAACACCCAAACCCCTGGACACCCTGAACCCTAAAAACCCTAAACCCCAAGCCCCACTGATGAATTTCAGGCCGGCCAAATGCCGCGACGACGAGTTGCTTCTCAGGTGCAACCCTACAGCTTAGGGTTTTAGGGTTTAGGGTTTAGGGTTATATAGGGGTTCAGGGTGGAGGCTTAGGGTTATGTTGTGGTTTATAGGGGTTATATAGGGGTATAATATTGGGGTTATATGGGGATAGTGGAAAAGAACATGGAAACTACTATGATGGGTGATATAGGGTTTAGGGTTTGGGGTTCAGGGTCAAGGGTTTTAGGGTTTAGGCAGGGTTTCAGGGTTAAGGGTTCGACGTCCAACAAAGAGGGGGTCTCTCTTGTAGGAGTTGTGCTTGTATTAAGGAATACAGCATCTCGGATTTATGAGGGGCATCCCAGTTTTTGGAGACACCCATGTGTGGAAACGCGCAAGAGTAGTGGTAGTAGTAGTCGTCGTACGACGGTGTCGTCGTCCTCGTCCTTGTCGCGGTCCTCGCCTCATCGTCGTCCTCGCCTTGTCGTCGTCCTCGTCGTCGTCATCGTGGTGGTGGTGGTGGTGGTGGTGGTGGTGGTGGAGGAGGTGGTGGCGGTGGTGGGAGCAGTAGTAGGAAACCTGAGAAAAGTCTTCTTGCCGTAGAATCAGCGATGACTCCGATGCAGGAGGGCTTGCTTCTTGCCTGTTTGATCAAGTGAACAAACCCGTGGCAAGCATCACGCGGACCTTCATACAAATATACAACCCTCTACCCTGAATGCTAGCTTCCATTTCAGTTTCCATTTTCTTTTCAGTTAGTATTGAGATAATATCCTCATATAACCCCTATATGAGCCTGTAGAACCTATTGAGGTTGGAGTCCAACTCGTTCACGCGACGCGTTTCTTATTCTTTTCAGTGGCTGCCTTCTTACAGCTCGTTCATTCTTTTGTTTTACCTCTGGATGACCTGCCCATCCTCTACGCGGATCTTAGCTTTGATTCGTTTGCGCTAGAATTGTTTGGGGCTATGGTGAATGCAGAAGTTGGGTGTTGATCTTTTGGAGTGACCTGAAACGAAAATGCCAAAATTCACCCTAAACCCGAAGCCCTAACCCCAAACCCTAAATCCATTTTGCTGTTAGTTTGATGGGAACATGGGAATTCCTCACAACAGTCCTTACAGATTCCTTCGACTCGAACTTTAGCCTTTGAATCTCGTTTGGAACCCACATGTATATATATAGTTATACATATGCACCTAGAGTCACTAGGGACCTCTTGCTTTGCACAAGCCTCCAGCCCAGAAGCATTCAACAAATTCGAGGTGGAACCCAAAAGTCAAACCCCAAAAAGACATCAACATTTAGCCCTCAACCTGAAACCACATTTAGCCCTCAACCTGAAACCCTAAACCCTAAATCGTAAACCCTGTATATGTAGGTACCATGGTCGAAAAGTCCAAAAAAGATCTCCCAAAGGTCTAGATCCAACCTAAGGGTTCAACCCTAAGCCCCTCCAAACCTGCTGTGCAAGCTATTGTGGATGGAGGAAATCCCACGCCACCTGATATAATGCAGACCCATGACTAATACACCCCCTCCTTTTAAGGGCCTAAATATTAGGATTCCTATGATAATCCCTATTAAGGGGAGGGGGCTATTAATCAGGAGTCTGGGTTAGCCTTTATCCCAATGGTTACAGACTTTTGGGGATCCTAGGTGGTGGAGGATTTCCTTACCCACCGTAGGAGTCATCCGAGAACCTCTGCAAGGGGAGGATGCGATTCTCCCAGTGGCAAGGCCGACCGACTGCCAGCTTCGAAGTAAATGGCGGATTCTAGAAATCCTGAGTCCATGTCAGGGGTCCCTGAATAAGGAGGATGGGGTCCCTATGATAAGGAGGATGATGATACGTTTGGGTTTGGGGAAGTTCCATGTTTGGGCATCTGCAGACGTCAGAGCAAAACCTTGAGGAGAAGCACCTGCCCTTCAAGACCCGAAGCAATGCCCACACCAGGGACAAAATGGCCGCAAGAAGTTCGAAATGTGAGCAGCAGAGTTTTCTTCGGATTATGCCCTTAAGCCTCGGCTTACAATCCTGATGACCTTAAGACCTCTTCCATTTAGTGGAGTAGCCAGGACGCTGCCTCACTCGGTAACGAGCACGCGTGCGCTGATCTACAACCTGGTTGCTTGGTTGGTTGGTGGATTGCTTGGTTTGGGGTTTGGGGTTCGTGCGACCACGCTGCAGAAGCATTGGTAATAGTAGCAGCGGTATTACGACGACGTAGTTCCTGTAAAGATTCTGTCGATACTAATATTCCTGCATGACCCTCTTATACTACATGATAGTACTATAATTCACGAGGTTTTCTGCCTTCAGAGCTCTGCGGGATTTCTGATTAAAAAAATCACAATTGTAAGCTTGAGAGTCAACTAACAAATACTGGCAATGGCCGCAATTATTTTCTAGCTGGTGAAGAAGACAGTATTGTTTTGGCTCGGGGCGTTGTTATGAGAGCTTTCCTCTTGGTGGCGGGAGTTGATATGCAGACGCGAAATCACATAATCATCCGACTGAACGCAAATTTCTGTGTCCTCAACTGTCCTAAACCCAAAACCCCAAAACCCAAACCCTAAACCCCTAAATCCTAAACCCTAAACCACTAAACCCTAAACCCCTAAAGCCTAAACCCCTGAAACCCTAAACCTAAACCCCTAAACCCCTAAACCTTAAACCCCTGAACCCCTAAACCCCTGCACCCAAAAACCGCTGAACACCAGGTAACCCTGCACAATGCGGCGTGGCCACCAACATTGGCAGACCGCTCGGCAAATCTGCCGTCGAGGCAGCGACCAAATGGAAGGTTCTCGAAGTCAGGGTGTAGGGTGAAGGGTTTGGGGTTTAGGGTTTAGGGTATGGGGGGTAGGGTTTAGTGTTTAGGGTTTAGGGTGTAGGGGTCGCGCCTACGGAATCCTTCATAGGGGCCCTCAATAACGACCCCACATAATTATCCTTGCAATATCCCTAAACGAGGTAGAAGTGTAGTATGGCGAGGCCATGAATAAGAACCATGAGTACATGTAATCCTATGTCCCCCACCCCACAGTGGCAGGCCTTGCACGCTGCAGCAGCTCGTTGATGCGCTTTATGAAGCTTTGCTCACAAAGCTTGATTTCAAGGTTTAGCCCACCCTAAACTTGCGGGGGTTAGTACAGAAGAAGGGAAAAGATCATAAAGGGATTAGACAGGGGCTATAGTCCCTTATTTCCAACTAAACCCCAGTAAGTAGAAGGGGTTTAAAGGGGCTCCAGAAAATTGTACCTATAGAGGGATATGGGCTCAGGGCTTGCTTAAGCCAAGCACACGGAACCTATCCTAAACCCAAAGCTGCGTGGGTCATTGTTTGTGTGGTGGAAAGGGTAGGGGCTGTTATTGGACATTATTTATCGAGTGTGTGCCGACATCCGCACCCGGTGACTGGGAACTGCCTGTCTTGCCTCGGTCAAAGAAGATACAAACCCTAAACCTTGTCAAGGAAGTCGTGCCAGAGGAGGAGCATTCGAAGCTTGGGAAGATCATCGACAAGGTTGGAACCCCAAACCCTACACCCTGAGAACCCGAAATAGACCCTGAACTTCACTCATCTGCATGCAGTGGCTGCACAACATAGTCCTAAAGATGGTATTCTGGCCGAGGGGGTGGCTCATACTGGGCTGGGTTGCTGTTAAGGAACTCTAAAGTAAGTCACCATAATGTGAGTATAGAGCAAACAGTAAATAATAGCGTTTCCTTTATATAGTAATTATCTAAGTTCCTTATCAGCAACTCAGTAGGGCCCATGTTTCTTACCGTAGAACTTTCTTCGATGTCATGTAAGTGCCAGGTAGAAAGACACTGAAGTTATTGCCGAATGATACTGAGAGATGAGATTATAGATCACACTAGTGTTTCGTAAATATCGTAATATGCCTACCTAGCCTACGTGGCAAGCAGGGACCCCATATAAAAGTGCCTGCCTTGGCAGTTGGTTGTTCAAGCTGCCTGCTCCACTCCTTTTGGTGCCCCTTTGACTGGCCATTGGGCTTCGGGTTTAGGGTCACCCTACTAAGGGGGGGGGCCATGTGACTAGTAAGCATAGTATGTAGGAGTTGTGGGGAGATGCGACTACCCAGCGGTTGTGCGCAACATGGGGTTTATGAAGACTATGGTGGCAGTGCCGGGAAGACTTAGCAGTCATGATCTCTAAGAACAGAACTAGCCATGAACCCTTAAACCCTAAACCCTTAAACCCTAAACCCTTAAACCCTAGACCCGAAACCCTCGACCCTAAGCTTATTGTATCCAGTATGCCTTGCCCCCCAAAACCGTAACAACTCACTCCAAGCCGTAGACTGGGACCTTACCTTGAGCACCTTGGAACTTCATGGTTATTACAGGGGCCTCTTTAGGGATTAGGGATTACAGTAGGGTTTAGAGCTTAGGACTTAGGGGTTTAGGTTTAGGGTTTAGAGTTTAGGGACATCAACATGATGGTTTCAGGGGTATTATACATCAATATGCAGCTTTCTATACTGGTTATTTGCAGAGTTATCAGCTGGATAGCTAGAGCTGCCTTGAGTGGACCTGTAGCCCTAGGTAACCCTACACCCTAATAGCCCTAGGTAACCCTAAGCCCTAATAGCCCTAGCCAACCCTAAACCCCAAACCCTAAACCCTTAACGCTTTAACCTCCAAGCTACACCCTAATAGCTCTAGGTAACCCTAAGCCCTAATGGCCATAGCTAACCCTAAGCCCCAAACCCTACACCCTAAACCCCAAAACCCCTAAACCCTCGACCCCTAAACCCCTAAACCCCTAAACCTCAAAACCCCTAAACCCTAAACCCCTAAACCCCTAAACCCTCAACCCCAAACCCCTAAACCCTTTACGCTTCAACCTCCAAGTAGCCTAGTCTTGCAGGAAGACAAGTTTCTCTCCCGCGTGGTGGGCAGCATGGGCTCCAATCTCTCCTATGAGCGTGCTCGGGAGCGAGGGTTTGTATGTAGGGGATTGTTTAGGCCTATATAGGGGTTGCAGGGGTTATGTAGGGCTGTATGGAATAATGTGGGATAAATAGGGGTCATGTAGGGTTATATAGGGATTATGTAGCGCCGCTCAAATGGGCTTGGGGTTTATAGAAATTGAAGATCTTTTGCGCTTGGAACTTGGTGCAGTGTTTCGCTAAGAATTGTGGACACTACTAGTGCGCGCCCGCCTTACCTGTTGGGCTGCAAACCACAGAAAGAGAAGCTGGTCTCGTTTGGCCAGCACTCCTCTCCCTGGAAGTTAAGGGGCGCTGGAAAAGAAATTCTAATTATAACAAGTGAGAAGAGAAGCCATACATAGTACTGTACTTACTTGGCGGTTCTGTATGAGTGGCGAAGCCTGCGCTAATAATGCTTCAGACATGTGTGGCGACGACAATTGAGACACTCTGGACACTTGTCGCCTGGTATACTTGGTAGCTACCCCTGGTGCAGGGAGGGAACGAAAAAATAGAAAAGCATTCGCCGGCACAAACTCCAAATTGGAAGTCTTGGAATGCTGCTGCTGTTGCATTCTTGAGAGAGGCGACCATGAAGGATGAGAAGCAAATAGCAGTAGAGGTCCATGCATAGTTGAAATCCGTATAGATTTGTACGTACGAGCCCCTTAGACAGGGCAAGGGACATTAGGTACAAGTAGAAGTAGGTTAGAATTACCCATGCGCTTCCAAGAATTCTAAGGAAGCATATTGCTGTCTGCTCTTTTGAGTAAGATTATACATACATGTATATTTCTTGCTTGGCTCAAGCATGAAAACACCATTGCGTTGAGAGCTTTTTCGCCCACATCTTCTGGTAGTTCCTACATATAGTGCCTATGTACTCTAATAGCCATAAAGGGAACTCTGTCATGTAGGTGTCCCCGTCTGAATTCGTTTGCATGGCAGGCTGGCAAGCAAAGAGGACATGTCTTCAGGCCCCATTTCCTTGAAAACCCCTGGGCCGCGACAATACCGCCCTTCCAATACTCTGAAACCTGAGTATTGCCCCTGCTTGAGATCCGTTGAGCCTCGGGTAGTGACACGTATTATGGTCACCCCCAGCTGGGGAGCAGAGAATGCAAGGATTCGTGCCTTGGTGCCTCTGAATCTGATTCAAAAGCTGGCGATATGAGCACTACCCCCTTGATTTAGTCCACTGCGATTGAACTCTGCTAACCGAAGCCACGGGAATGCATCCTGACACGGCAGGGGGAAAGCTTTGTTAACACGCCCAAATCCTCCTAAGCCCGCAACCCTAAGATAGGCATACACCCATGATCAAACCAAGACAGGAGCTGAAGATGGTCCCTGTCCCAGAGTTGAAGACGGCTCCTTGGACCAACTGATGAGAAACGGGTTTGAGGGTTCAGGGTTTAAGGTTTAGGGTTTAGAAGGCTGCTTTGCTACAGCCTTGGGGGGCTTACTTTGCGTACCCGACTTCTCGGAATCTTTACACATGTAAAATGGACCGTGGCTGACGCGGAGTTCCCTGCAGAATGACCCAATATATCCAGTGAGGATTCTTCTTATGAAGCTAACAAAGCATTTAGGAGTGAAATACGACAGCCACGATTTCAGGAATCTCCGCCAGTTGGAACATTTTTAGCATGCGGGCATCCTGTGTGCCCTCTGGGCAAAACCTGGGAAAGAGGCCACAAGCGACAGCGTCAAACAGAGATTTAGATTGAGAGGCTGTCATTATCATCTTTTGCACCGTCAGAGGTATGGGGTTTCGTACTGGTACCTTCATCTTCGCTCACGTGAACACAGCCGGCAGTAGCTGCCAGGTGATTGAGGAGTTTCTCGAGGACTTCGGCGAGAAGTCAGTCGTTTCACGTAAGCGCCGGAAGACGTCGTGAAGGAAAAAAGACAACAGCAGCCGCTGTCCCAAGATTGGGATCCGCCCTCTTGAAGGTATTTTGAGATCTATAGTCCCCCTTAAGTAGATAAGGGTTTTATTGGGATAATGGAAAAGAAAATGGAAACTAGTGCAGGTTATCCTTATGAACATAGCTTTGCATTGCTTAATGTGGGGAGTACTGGCGATTACCTACCAGAAAGAGTGAAGCTTAGAAGGTGGACAAGAAGTCTGCTGTTTCGTAGCTCCCTGCCGGGAAACAGACGGGTAAGGTAGTGCGGAAGGGGTTGATATGTTGTATATGATTTGTCTATGCCTGCCAGATTTTTTTTGCTTGGGGTGGTATTCCCAAATTTGACACGATCTCGAAGCAAAATATGATGACGCGTCGCTCAATTAAGAGCTTGATTTTGAGCCAAATTGCGACGACGACATCCAACGCCAGAGCGCGCTGTGGAGCCATAATGTGCAGACACGTTTCCATGCGGGAGCAGGATTTGGATCCAAAATGTGAAGATGTTTCACCCCAGAGCTTGTTGTAGATGGGAGCCATGTAAGATCCTGCAGGAATAAGCAATCTTCTCCTGTGCTTGGTGTCGTTCCTATCTTATTCATATTTTTCGGTACTTCTCAAGAACGACTCCTAAAGGCTCTTCAACCCTGAGCCTCCAGAACTAGGCCCCAAATATGGAGATGACTTAAACTCTAAACCTTCAGTGTTCAGTCCTACACAAACCCGAAGCACTAAAGTTCTAAAACTTTACATGGCTCCCCAAACTCTGAAGAAGAGAAAGCTGCATTACCGCAGGTATTGGAGCACTCGCCCCTTTGGGCTACAACGCTGCCTCGAGCGGCACCCCGCGAGTTCGAGGCCTCGTTCTTCCTAAGGTCCCCTTTCTTTACCCTTTGTGAGAATGGAAGGCCCTAAAGTCTAAAAAAGCTGGGGGAAAAGGACCTTGGTTTGGGGAATGAGAGAATTCTTCCCAAGGTCCTCTTTTCTTGTCTTCCGTCAGTGCTTTGAATGCCAGAGGGCTCAGGAGCTGCTTAGTATGGGGGCGATAACCTGCAAATGATCTCCAAACTGGCCTTGTATAGGTCACTAAGTGTGTAGCAGCCCTATTTGTAGGCAGTTGCAAGTCTCCGATATGCAAATGCCGGAAAGTTTTGTTGTTGATTTAATCATTAGTAAGCGCGTTTTGGTAACCAAATCTCCCAAATTAGGACCCTATGGCTAACTGTCTTTCATGCGAGTATCATGGGATCCCAATTCTGTGGGGTTTCGGTTATCAAAGCCCTTTTGTTCATCATGGGGAGTCGTTTATGGATCGGGATACATTCCTTCTTTCCCTCACAGCATGCTACAGTAACTTCCGGGAGGGAAGTTGTTTGCCCGCTGTTAAGGCACTGACGTTAAGCGACTGTAAGGAAACCATGTTATTCAACATATATATATATGTATCCACGTGATTGTAGCTATTAGTTCAAATGCCTTCACAGCAGCGCAGTTTTTTGGAGGTCCCCGCGGGCTCTAAGGCATAACATGATGGTATACTGTAGGCCTTTGTCAGGTTCTCCAAAACCGAGATAGGGCAGACCCGCTGCGAAACCCTGAGTTCTGCTAAGAGCCTTTCTCAGAAAATCTGTTCCCCAGAAACCCTAAACCGCAGATCTTAAACTCTTAAACCCTGAACCAAAGGCCTAAACCCTAAACGTGAATCTACCCCATTCCATGTAGACTTCCTGCCAGTTCTAGCAATGCATCCTCCAGCTCTTCTCTGGGGATTTGGTTGGTCCTGGCATGGAATGCTCTTCAGATGTTGTACTTTTTGGTTATCTCCCTTTCATGCGGAGAAATCAACTTCTTGATGCTTTTACGAGACTTTCTCGAGATTGAAGGTGAAACAGCCCATCTTGTGAAGCAGAAGGGCAGGTTTCATGAGCTCTTCATCTACTATGTCTACTGCGTTTGGCATTGGTAGCAGTTGCTGACGTATTGTAGCGCTTGGTCCTCATGGTGGTGGCGTCTCCGACGGCAGCGGCGGCGGCGGCGGCGGTGGTGGCGGCGGCGGTGGTAACGGAACGGTGGCAGTAAGAGTAGTGGTGCTAGTTGCAGCAACATGAAGACAACCGCAACGCGACTACTTTCGTTTTCCCGGCGCCTGCTGCTACTGCTGTCGCCGCTAGCTACTACTTGTATTTCGTTTATGACGATAACGATGACGATAACGATGATGATGATGATGATGATGAAGATCACCTCTTATCAGCCGCATGCTCGTAAATCTAATTTAGAACCTAAGCTGAGATGCTCAGCATCCCTGTAGGAACGGGCCCTTTCCGCGTTCTGGGCTATTTTGGTCTTATCCTCCTTCGCCCAAGGGCACATAAACCCTTAAACTTGCCCCTGCATCATAAACCCCTAGCCCTACACTACTAGACCCCCCAAAACAGGCACACTAAAATCCGTAGATCCTGAAGCCTAAGTTTTTAATCCCTGAACCCAGACTAACATGGCACCTGGACATGCGCCTTTTGCAGACTACTGTTCTTGAATCTTTGCAGCCCTATAGCTCTAAACCCTTTAAATTGAGTTTGGGGAGAGGGTAACCATGGCAGTAGCAGGTCGACGTCTGGCCTAGTGAAGGGGAGGCAGACCCGCTGGGGACTCAGAGTTGCGCCCTCCATGCTAAGATCATACACGCCCGAAAAGGGGTTATGTTGGGGTATATACAATGGAATGGACAAGGAAATGGAAGCTGCTACATTTTTTTGGGTTTATGGTTTAGGATTGATCTTAGCTGAGGAACTTTATTGGGGACAAATGAGTGGCACTTGCAGTGCAGCTTACATCTGCTGAATCTGAAGGAGTGGGTCATAACTATCCTTAAGGCTTAAAACCCTAAAAGTTTCAACCCTGAGTCATACCCGAGTGGTTTTAGGTAGGCTGAATTGTGTGACCCTGCTGCAGCAGCACCGGTATGACAGCCAGGCAGGGATAGGCTTGAAAGTGGTTACTAATTTTTACTGCCCTTTATCCTTATATAATCCCTGTAGAGCCTTGAAAAACATTTCCCGGGCCCCCAAACCTACCTTTGTAACGCCTAGAGCTCTTCCTCATCCACCACTTGTTGCTATTCCCAATGCCCATAGTTTGTTACCTCCCGTACTCGCGATCTAGTTCTCTCAGCAAATCGATTAGGAGATTCTCGAAACATCTCAAAACAATTCCTACATAATCACAGCAGGGAATCCCTATACGAAAGCCCCTGGTGGCTAGGGTAACCCAGCTTCAAAACCTACCAATTTAGCCGAGTGCCCAACCGGGCTCGCGCTGAGGTACGCGATAACGCTGGGAGCATTCGAATACCAGTTGCTTGGACCACGGATCCAGGCCGAGCAATGGCTGACAACATGGGACATGGATTATGTAGGGTTAAGGGATAGTACCCCAATAATGGAGAGTCAAATGGAAAAGAACATGGAAGCTGAAATGGAAACCGGGGCTTACACCCTGCGCCCGACACTCTAAATCCTAAACCCTAAGCCCTAAATTTTACGCTCTGAACTTAAAATTCCTAAGCCCCAAATCCTAGATTATCGTAGGGGTTCATGTTGTGGTTATAATATGGAGCTTCAGTATTGGGACTTGGTCTGGCAAAAGAGCTCGACATACATCTGTTTTCATTTTCTTTTCCATTCCCTACGCCCGTGGCTGGCCAAGTCCTCGTTTAAACCCTGATCCTTACACCCTGAACCCTAAACCCCAAAACCCCAAACCCCTTCGTCTTCTTCTTCATCTTCATCTTCCGAATTCCCCGAGAACAGAGGGTCTAGGGGAGGCGCGTAGTCAGAAGAAGATCTTGCCCCCTGCTTTATATTCTAACAGAAGTTTCCAAACTTAACGCTCGGCCCCTTTTTCTTGCATATGTTGGGTATCCATTGGGGCTCGCGGCGCCTCATGTCTGGAAATTCAACTCCCCCCCCCACACCTCTACTTACTTTGTTTGTTAGTAGGGAGTAGGGAGTATAATCCCTACATAATTCCTACATAATCCCCATATAGCATATTCCCTTCTTCCCTACTAAGAACCATCAAGTCTAACCATGACACCTGCCCCGACATGTGGTGCCATGATTAGGGGAAACATGTTTACCAGGGGGGTGAGGGTGCATATGGGTGGTTGTCAAACTTATGGGCCCTTTTTGGATCCATATTGTAATACGGCACCTAATATTTAGGGTAGGCAAAAAGGGATCATAATTTTGGCAACCACCCATATAACCCTATATTATCCCCTATATAACCCCTATATAACCCCTATATAACCCATTATAGTAGTTTCCATTTTCTTTTTCCATTATCCCTGTATAACCCCTAGTTTTGACATAACGTAGACCCCTGATGAATAACCCCCCTCCCCTTAATAGGGAATATAATAGGGATCCTAATATTAATGCCCTTAAAAGGAGGGGGTTTATTATTCAGGGGTCTACATTATTCAGTATTTTTAGGGGGAGTTGAGTTGTAGCCAGCCTTGTCTCTGGTACCGTTGCTGCTCAGTGGCTTAGGGCTTAGGTTTTGGAACGTAGGGTTTAGGGTTTAGGATTTGGGATGTAGGGTTTAGGCTTTGGGGATGTAGGGATGTAGGGTTAAGGGTTTGGGATTTGGGAAGTACGATTTAGGGCTTAGGATCTGGGCTTTAGGGTTTAGGTCGCTGCACCTCAGCACGTGGTAGTTGGCAATCGTGAGGCCTCCGGCAGACGTTGACTGCTCCTTTTTTAATGAGTCCTTGGTATTTTAGTTGGGGGTAACATGGGTCCTGACAGCCCCCATGACTCAAACCCAGGTAAAATCCAAAAGCCTAAGCCTTCAACCCAAAACCTCGAAGAGTCTCTCAACATCGGATACGTATGAGGATGCTGGGTGTAGGTGCGGTTCATGCTGTTCAGAAAGAGATTGCAGGGTTTGGTTTAGGGCGCAACCTCACAGTCCTTCTTCCT